CTTCAACACTATTGACTACTGTTTCTAGCCAATATTGCCGATGGCCTCTTTCAGCCACCATCGCTCACGATTAACAATCTCTTTTGGCTACTGACCACCATCTCTAAAGATTAACAACCACCTTTGGTTGCCAACAATCTACTCTCATGTGCGATAACCTACCTCCAACCACCATCTTTTGGTCGAAAATAACCTTTGACCACCAACTTCTATCACCACCTCTAGTGCTTGCAACCACCTTCGACCAACCTCTCCAACCATAAGTCACCACCACCCACAATCAACAATCAACTTCGGCTACAACCAACTACCTCCCACCACGTGGTAATTAGCACCTCTAGTCATCATCTCTAATCGTCGACAATCTCTTTTGACTAGCCAATGTCTTTTATTCGTTTTCAAAACAAAATTTAAAAACATGTGTGTTAAACATGTTTTTATTTTTATTTTTACCAAAAATAAATATAAATACATAATATTTTATATAAACAAATTACAAAACCAAACCTAACAAATATAAAATCGGATGGGAAGCACAGTAGTTAAATGACTTGTTTAATTAACAAAGTTAATAGTGAGGAGATTAAGAATTCATGTAATTAGTGTATAATTGATTATCGGGAAAATTAGTGAATTATCCCTCTCTAATTTTATGTAGTGGGAGAGGTCCAATTTTTTTTTTTTTTATTAGTTAAGGTCTCTCAACATTTTTACAAAGAAAATTTAACTTAGAAAAATTTCACCTAACTTAGAGAAATTTCGATACCGACTTACAGAGAAATTTTGAAATTTCTCTGAGTCGGGGCGAAATTTTCCTTAGTCGAATTTTGTCTGTATAAATGTTGAGAGACCTTAATTACTATGAAAATATTGTATGTTCTTTATCTTATAGAATCTTAATATCAGAGATCTTAAAAAAAATTTCCCTTGATTATCCAACTTGATTAGTGGAATAAATAATTTCCTATTTTTAACATTTATTTTGTAATAAATATAAAAATATATAATTTCAATTATATGTTTATTTTGTATTATTAGTTGTATCATTAAAAAATCTGCTAATTTTGTTAGATTAAATATCCATTAAAATCTAATGGAGATAACAAAAATTATAACCAAATACTAAAATTACATGAGTTCCTTAATCCTATAATTCACCCAATAAATCCTGGCCAAAGGGACAACATTTGGAAAGAGTACTAACCAGCAACAAATGCTGGATATGAGTTCGATCGATAGAGTCACTCTGATCATCTCCGCTGATATTGAGAAAAGCATCCAACACATCATTGCTTGAGAGACAACCCTGTGTTTTTTTCAACTCCAATCGTTGATCAATCAAACTATCAAAGACTACAATAAGCCTTCCAAAGTCAGAAGTGGTTTGGCGCCTAATACCTTGTGGATCAATCTTCTTCAACACAGGGAAGTAATCTGACAAGTTGGGCGTGCCAATGTGCTCCATGGAACTCCACACTACCTCCTTCAGCTCCCTTAAAATGTCCTTGTTCCGATCATCTAATAATTCCATGGAAAAAATTGTATTCGACAGCAAATTAAACATTGTTCTAAATGCTGCTTTGCAAATATCCACTTCCACACCTGGCTCGCAGCTTTCGCGAACCTCGGCGATCAGTCCTTGCACCACTTGATGCCGTAGGTGTTGGTTTGCGTCGAGTTTTTGAGTGGTGAAAACGTGGGATTTGTAGATTTTGCGGAGTTTTCTCCATTGAGTTGAAATAGGCATCAAACCGATGGAGAACTGGTCGTGGTTTTGGGCTCGGAGGTTGTCCGGGATGGATCGGTTGGAGAAAGAGAGGTCTTGCTTTTGGAGGATTTGTTTAGCCATGGTTGGTGAAGAAATGACAACTGTGTTTACTTGGCCTAGTTTTATGGTCATGATAGGACCATAGATTTTGGCAAGCTCGGCTAAGGACTTGTGAGGCTTGTCACCTAGTTTGAGAAAGTTTCCGATGAGTGGCAGAGGTGTCGGTCCCGGCGGAAGCTTGCCGGGACTGTTTTTGCTTGGTTTTGCAAGTGATATTAGGGCTTGAACCACTACAAGAATTTACACATTTGCCGACCACTTTTGCTGACCAAAAAAATTTTGGTCGCTAAAAAATGACATTTGGTGACCAAATATTAATTGGTCGCGAATTATCATTATTTTTGGCGACCAAATATTATTGGTCGCAGAAGGTTATATTTTGGCGACCAAAAAATGAGTTGGTCGCAGAAAGTGGTATACTTTTGCCGACCAACTACAAATTTGGTCGCGGAAGGTCACATATTTTTTGGCGACCAAAAATTTGGTCGCGAAAAACTTATTTTCAACAACCAAAAAAAATTAGTCGCCAAATTAATACTTTTAGCGACTAATATTTTAGTCGCCGTCAATAAATCCTGGCCAAAGGGACAACATTTGGAAAGAGTACTAACCAGCAACAAATGCTGGATATGAGTTCGATCGATAGAGTCACTCTGATCATCTCCACTGATATTGAGAAGAGCATCCAACACATCATTGCTTGAGAGACAACCCTGTGTTTTTTTTAACTCCAATCGTTGATCAATCAAACTATCAAAGACTACAATAAGCCTTCCAAAGTCAGAAGTGGTTTGGCGCCTAATACCTTGTGGATCAATCTTCTTCAACACAGGGAAGTAATCTGACAAGTTGGGCGTGCCAATGTGCTCCATGGAACTCCACACTACCTCCTTCAGCTCCCTTAAAATGTCCTTGTTCCGATCATCTAATAATTCCATGGAAAAAATTGTATTCGACAGCAAATTAAACATTGTTCTAAATGCTGCTTTGCAAATATCCACTTCCACACCTGGCTCGCAGCTTTCGCGAACCTCGGCGATCAGTCCTTGCACCACTTGATGCCGTAGGTGTTGGTTTGCGTCGAGTTTTTGAGTGGTGAAAACGTGGGATTTGTAGATTTTGCGGAGTTTTCGCCATTGAGTTGAAATAGGCATCAAACCGATGGAGAACTTGTCGTGGTTTTGGGCTCGGAGGTTGTCCGGGATGGATCGGTTGGAGAAAGAGAGGTCTTGCTTTTAGAGGATTTGTTTAGCCATGGTTGGTGAAGAAATGACAACTGTGTTTACTTGGCCTAGTTTTATGGTCATGATAGGACCATAGATTTTGGAAAGCTCGGCTAAGGACTTGTGAGGCTTGTCACCTAGTTTGAGAAAGTTTCCGATGAGTGGTAGAGGTGTCGGTCCCGGCGGAAGCTTGCCGGGACTGTTTTTGCTTGGTTTTGCAAGTGATATTAGGGCTTGAACCACTACAAGAATTTACACATTTGCCGACCACTTTTGCTGACCAAAAAAATTTTGGTCGCTAAAAAATGACATTTGGTGACCAAATATTAATTGGTCGCGAATTATCATTATTTTTGGCGACCAAATATTATTGGTCGCAGAAGGTTATATTTTGGCGACCAAAAAATGAGTTGGTCGCAGAAAGTGGTATACTTTTGCCGACCAACTACAAATTTGGTCGCGGAAGATCACATATTTTTGGCGACCAAAAATTTGGTCGCCAAAAACTTATTTTCAGCAACCAAAAAAAATTTGTCGCCAAATTAGTACTTTTAACGACTAATATTTTAGTTGCCGTTGATTGAAATTTGGCGACTAAAAAAGTTTGTCGGCGGAGGTACTTTTTCTGCGACTAATATGGTCTTTTGGTCGCCAAAAGTTTGGGAGGGAAATTTGATTTTTAGTGGGGGCGGGAATTGAAAATTTTTGGCGACAAATAAATTTGGTCGCTAATTTTAAAACTACGTCGTTTTGTACATTGAAATCAGAAAAAAAAAATAAATCAATCAAATCGGTGCCCTCTCTCTTTGTTTCTCGGTCCGCCCTCTCCCTCTCTGTGTTCTTCCTCTCAATTGATGCCCACTCTCTGCCTCTGGGACCTCTCCACTGGCATCACTGCTCGCCACTTCGTCGGCTACTCCAAAGATGTCCTCTCCGTCGCTTTCTCCTTCGATAATCGCCAAATCGTCTCTGCTTCCCGAGACCGCTCGATCAAGCTGTGGAGCACTTTGGGTGAATGTAAGTACACGATTCAGGATGGTGATGCTCATTCTGATTGGGTCAGTTGTGTTCGATTTAGCCCTGATAATCTTCAGCCTACGATTGTGTCTTCGTCTTGGGATCGGACTGTGAAGATTTGGAATTTTTAGAATTGTAAGATTAGGGCTTTGCTTGCTGGGCATTCTGGGTATGTGAATACGGTGGCCGTGTCGCCCAATGGGTCGCTGTGTGCGAGTGGTGGGAAAGATGGGGTTATTTTGTTGTGGGATCTGGCTGAGGGAAAGAAGCTTTACTTGCTCGATTCGGGCTCGATTATTAATGCTCTGTGCTTTAGCCCTAATAGGTACTGGCTCTGTGCTGCTACTGAGGCGCATTAAGATTTGGGATTTGGAGAGCAAGACCATTGTTGTGGATCTCAAGGTTGATGCCAAGCAGGAGGCTGAAATGAACGAAGGCGGAGCTGCCGTGTCGTCTAGTGTTAAAAACAAGGTTTAGTATTGTTAATTTAGTATATATGGATTTTGGGTTTTTATTGCTTTTGTGTTTCTTGATATTTCTTGCCATTTAAATGTTTTTTTTTGATGTGTTTGTGTTGTAGATAGTTGATGAATACATATAGGGCCTGTTTGATTAAGAGGATTAATAGTAAGTGGATTAACAATCATGAGATTAGTGTATGATTAGTTATATAGTGCGATTAGTGATAATTTTCTCGTCAATGTTTGTTTTGCAATAGATATGAAAATGTATAATCCCAATTATGTGTGTTTTGCGTGACTAGTTGTAGGATTAAAAAATCTGTCTTTGTTTGATAGGTCATTGGAATCTAATCTGAATAATAACATTTGCAACCTTACAATGGAATGTGAATCCCATGGATTAATAATTAGAGTCTTATGTTATAATCCACCCAATCAAACAAGCCCATAGGTGAATATGATCTGACAATAATGACAATTGGTTCTGAATCTTGTGATGTGTGATTGTTGTGAAAATCTGGTTTGTGTTTTGGTAATTTTTTTAAAACTTTTGTTGCTAAATCTTTTTAAAATGTCTGGCATTTATACTTATCCAAAAAAAATAAAATAATAATATCTGGCATTTATCTTTTATTACTTTGGGATGTTTCAAATGTAAGTTCAAGTTCATAATATTTTGTGAATATTGGTTTCATCTTTCAGTCTTTTTTCTTGTATAATTGAAAAATCTGTATTTCAGATATTTAATTTATACTTTGATGTCTGTGTGTTCTGATTTTTGTATTTAGAAATTGTTTGAAACTAATTTGATCGGTAAATTTTGATTACGTTGTGTACCTTTAGTTGTGGGCTTATATCTATTTTCATGGTCAATTTATAGGCTCAGCTCTTGTTTTTTTATTTGCTACTAGTGATTTGCTTGTCAGATCAACAATTGTTGATAAAGGTTTCAAAGCAATTTACTTGGATTTTATGGATTGTCTGTTTGTTAATGTACTTCATTCATGTTATTGATAGAGATCATACTGCCAATTAGTGTTCTATCTTCTTGGTCAATTCCTTCAATGGTTGATGGCCTGAAACCAGGTCAAAGGAAGATCCTTTTCTGTTCTTTCAAGCGCAACTTTGTGAAGGAAGCAAAAGTTGCTCAATTCTCTGGTTATGTATCTGAGCATTCAGCTTACCATCATGGTGAGCAGAGTCTTGCCAGTACCATCATTGGCATGGCACAGGATTATGTGGGCAGCAATAACTTAAACCTGCTTCAACCAAACGGTCAATTTGGCACTCGTCATCAGGTGAGGAAAGAAAAATATCACTCAATCAAATTCAAACAAACATATTGGAGTTAGTTGTTTTGTTTTAAATTTGTTTCCTATGCTTACATGTATTGTTGATTCTTAAAAGGGAGGCAAAGATCATGCGAGTGCTAGGTACATATACACTCGGCTTTCTCCTATCACACGGTTCATGTTCCCCAAGGATGATGATATACTTCTTGATTACTTGAATGAAGATGGGCAATCTATTGAACCTGTCTGGTAAGTTTTTTTATCAGTGGCAAATAAACATATGATAAACACAATCCCTTTGGTGCAAATGTTCCATTCCATCATATAGGCTTAACTTACCATAAACCTCTTTTGAATATTCACTTAGAATTTCTTCGGTAGCTTTATGATAAATGGAGGTAAGTGCTGCTCAGTTAAAACAATTAGCTTTATGACTAGACTTTATTTGGATTGCAGCATTTACTGGTTTTGCAATTGCTTGTGAATGAACAATGCTGTAACATAGCACAAAATAAATTGGGCTATTCCTTTTTCCCCCCCCTCTGTCCTTAGAAGGAAACTTTGTAATGAGTTTGTCATGATAGACATCACCTTTAGGTTTCATGCTATTTTCTTAATGCATTTATGGTCATATTTTTACAATAGGGGTACTCTATCTCCGAGCTCATCACTAGATGATTGCTCAATGCTTATTCATACACCCATGTTGGACTGATGGTTCTTATTTCCAGTACTGTGGAAAACCTTTTGCCCTATGCTTACCCTTATTTCTCTGGGGGTATTTTATTGATAGATTCTCTAGGAATTGGGTGTTTTAACAAATTTCCGTTTCTCATTGACTGCTTCTCGATATTGTTACACCAGGACTGCTGCTTTTACGACTAGAGTGATTCTGCGATTTATACTATGAAATTGGAGGACACTTTTTTGGTCAAATACCTAGCATCAAAGTCAAATGTTTCTTTCTTATAGTACTTCTGAACAGACTCTTAAATTTGTTTTAAATTCAAACAAACATATTGGACTTAGTTGTTTTGTTTTAAATTTGTTTCCTATGCTTACATGTATTGTTGTATCTTAAAAGGGAGGCAAAGATCATGCGAGTGCTAGGTACATATACACTCAGCTTTCTCCTATCACACGGTTCATGTTCCCCAAGGATGATGATATACTTCTTGATTACTTGAATGAAGATGGGCAATCTATTGAACCTATCTGGTAAGTTTTTTTATCAGTGGCAAATAAACATATGATAAACACAATCCCTTTGGTGCAAATGTTCCATTCCATCATATAGGCTCAACTTACCATAAACCTCTTTTGAATATTCACTCAGAATTTAATTGGAAAAAAATTATTTGAAAAAAAAATTAATTGAATTTTTTTTTTGTTAGTAAAGCTTTTAAATTTCTATTTAAAAACTAACATAAGCTCATTTTTTGAATTTATGTTTTTTCTTTAAATTTACAAACTGAGACAATCATTTATAAACCAAAAAAAATTATCAAACAAATTTTTATGATAGTTTTTAAAATTTTTGTAAATATAAAATG